ACACAGAGAAAAGGCCTTGTGAGGACACAGTGAGAAGGCAGCCATCTGCAAGCCAAGGAGAGAGGCCTTGGGAGAAACCAACCCTGCTGACACCCTGATCTTGGACTTCTAGCCTCTACAATTGTGAGTAATAAATTTCTGTTGTTTAAGTCACCCAGTCTGTGCTATTTTGTGATGGCAGCCCTAGAAAATTAGTACATCCCATGACTGAAAGACCCATTATTATATATGAAGGACAGTGTGGTTTGATTGATGCTGCTAATTGTGGACCAGTGCTGTTCTGTACTTGAGCACTGGCTGATGCTCGTACCTGCGAGTTTACTTGAGATCACAGAATCAGAGACTTCGAGAGTCTAGCCTTATAAGCTATCATAAGTCTATTAGCATCTTCCTTAGAAAACAAAAATATAATTCATTAGAGCCAGAAGTGTTACAGATCTAAGTCAGTGACTTAAATTGGAAAAAAATAAAAAGCTCAAGAGAATCAACCCATAACTAGTCCATGAGTCTATGAATCAATATCTAAGAAAAAGAAAAATTCCCTGGAATTCAGCTTCAGGTTGCATTTACCTATGAAACAAAACAAGTGTATCACCAGGATGGCTAGATCACTGCCTTATGACAGGGTCTAACTGCTAAGGGGACTGAGGAAGATTCTCACACATAACTTACGTTGTTTTAGATTTGGGCTTGGTCATGTCTAATGTCTCGGGATGTCCACCTGGGCCAGAGTTTCCACCTATGAACGGGCCACTTGAGATGCCATTCCCTGCTTCATGTAAGTTACAGAGGCTGCAGCACAATTAAGAATAAAGCGTGCCAAGACCCTCTCCTCCAAGTAACGCTGCAAAGTGGTTTTTCTTAGATTTCCACATTTTCTCCAGATCTCTCTGAAATTACCAAGACCTACTACTGCTCCTTATTATTATTGTTGCTTATTGCTGCTTACTGCAACAGACCCATGTAAGGCAGGAACCCACCATTTTCAAAAGGTATTTTTTTCCCTGCACGGAAGGGAAGAAGCCTTTGAAGAGAAAACAGGGTCAGTGGGCGCTGAGTTCAAAGCACTCCCCGATGGCTAGGACGCAAGTGAAGACTTCAAAAAGGAAAAGCGCCAGCCTTTGATGAATCTAAAAATTCAAAAGAATTTCTTCTGCTAGCCTAACAGGGAGATTCTTCCACACTGAGCTGCCGGGAGAGACAGTGGCATGGCTACTAACCCATGAGATTTAGCGTAAACAAACCAGGACCAGGAACATCAGCACAGGGGACTGCTGCAGTGGAAGAGTTGTTTAGTCTTAAGAATTTAAAAATGATTTGAAATCGTTCCTTGAATTACACATTATGAAAGACTCTGAAAATAATTTACTGTCCCTGTTGAAACATTTAGATTTTCAGTACAAATATCACGGATTTCCTAGAATGACTACAGTAAATGCATCATCGATAAACATCAGCTTGTGGATAAATATTTTGCTTGGAAATAATCTGTTCATATACTTAGTGTGAAATAGTTAATGAGCTCCCGATGGCAGAAGTACAGGACTCCTAACTTCCCTACATGGCTATGCTGAAGATCTGTTAACTGGACAATTTGTCCCAGCATCTCAACTTGATATTTGGGAAGCGTATCCTCAGAGAATAACAATGAGTGTTATTTTAATAAGTGTAATACTTTAAAACATATTTAATATATTTTTAAAATTTGATAATAAACAATGTTAGTTAAAGTAATTTGGTTAACATGATACGTGGTATGTTCTGGGTCAGAGGACCCTTACCTGGTGGTAAATCCAGGAATCTAATTCCATTTATATAAGAAAAACAGACTAAATTCTATATCCAACTGAGCAAGAAATAACTATTTGGAACCTGACCCATTCAAAATACTTGAAAATACCTAAGAATGCCTATGGTAGTTACCAGATGTGGTAGACAACCCTAAGATGTGTTTTCCATGATCCCAGCTTCCTGGTATTCGTGCCTTTGAGGATAGGCTGGCTTACTGGCTTGCTTCTAACTGAAGTATATGGTAAAGTAGATGGCATGTTACTTCTATGACTAGGCTAGATAAGATTGGGACTTCTGTTTTGCTAGCAGGCTACTTCCCTTGCTGGCTTTGATAAGGCAAGTAGCTATGTTGGGGAGGCCCACATGGCAAGAGCTGAGGGGGTCTCCTCTGGCTAAGAGCCCGTTAGAAACTGAGGCCCTGAGTCAAACAGCCCTGAAAAAACTGAATCCTGCCAACAGCCACATGAGCTTAGAAGGAGATCCTTCCCCACTCACCCCTGGCTGACGCATTCACAGCACCCTGCAAGAGACCCTAAAGCAAACGACCCAGCTAAGCCATGTTTGGACTCCTGACCTACAGAAACTGTGAGATGATGAATGTATGTGGTTTTAAGCTGCTAAGTTTCTGGCAATTCGTTACAGAGCAATAGAAAAAAAAAACTAAGAAAGCCAATGTAGATTCATCTAAACATTTTGATTTTACCCATAGAAGTTCAGACTAGTCTTCGATGTTGCTTCAAAATAATTTTTTTTACCTTATAACTTCCTAGCACATTAAGGGTTTTATCACAAAATTTCTCCACTCTCGTTGAACCTCCCCATTTCCCCCCATTTTCTACCTATTCAGTGATCCAGTATTTGTTGTCTTCCTGGACTATGCTTTGAGAGAAGGATGAACCTGACGGTCGAGCACTCTTAAGTCTGCCCCAGAAGGGGAGGCATACATGTAAATATCTGGTTTTCAAGAGAGAAATAAGTGATACAGAAAAGGGATAAGGTGGCATGAAAGTTCCAAAGAGGAGAAAGTTCTATCTGTGGGGCTGGAGTTTGATTAAGCTTTAGAGTCACAGGGAGGGAGAACAAAAATGGAAAGAAGCTGTAATGGGGTTTATTTCAGAAACAACAGTTTGCTTCATTTAAAGGGAACAAGAGGGAGGGCCGCCTGCCTTTCTTATCCAGAGTGTGTATGTAGGTGGTGGAAGGAAGAACAGTGGAAAGAACTACAAAAGGCCGGGGACGGGGCCAGGAGGGGGGGAAAAAAAGGGCCTGAAAAGCAGCAGCTCTAAAATAAAGTGTGATCTGGGGCCAGAGGGGTCATTTGGGTGCATAGAACCAGAAAGTTAAAAAACAAAACAAAACCGTTTAGGAGGACTTCATCTGGGGAATTCATGTACCCATTCAACACAGTATGAAGCACCTGTCGCATGCGCAGAGCAGTCCCACTCACAGAGCTGGCTGGCCCTTTGGCCACCTCCGGAAGGCTTGCCACTGGGCTATCCTGAACCCGCCTCAGGCCAAAATCCACCCTCGTTTGTAAAAAAATAGCATCTGATAGGCTGGTTCTCAAGACAAGAACTCTGGAAACTTCCATGGAACATTTAAGGCTTCTATAAAGATTACCATAAAATGGGTGATTTAAAGCAAGGAGAATTTATTCTTTCACAGTGCCGAAGGCTAAAAATCTGAAATTAAAGTTGGTTGGAGAGGCAGTCCCTCCAAAGGCTCCAGAGCAGCCCCCTTCCCCGCCTCTTCCAGCATCTAGAAGCTGATGGCATTCCTTGGCCTGGGGCTGCATTACTGCAGTCCCTGGCCCTGTGGTCATGCTGCCTCCTCCTGTTCAGCATGTCTGCCTCTTCTCCCACCGCCTTCCTCGTAGACGGACCCTGGTGACCCAAGAGAAGCCCCTCCTTCCCAGATCCTTAAGCAATCACATCTTTCTGCCGCATTAAGTTAATAACCACTCTTTTGCCATACTAGGCAATATTCACAGGTTCTGGAGATTAAGACATAGACATATTATCTGTCAAAATTTTTTTTTTTTTTTTTTTTTTTTTTTACATTTCAAAATAAACTTACTCACGGAATGCCTTTGAGATTTGTAACTTCCCCCATGTTTGGCATGCCAGTTAGCCCCTCCTCAAATCATGGTAATTAGCAAGAAAACATTTAAAACAGAAAAACCACTGAGTTATTTCAGGGAGGAATATAAAGAGCTGCCTCCTATTCCAGAGACAACCTTGATGGGAAAAGAAGACACAGGTTATCCCATTGGTGGAAAAGAATGACGAAAGCCCAGGGCCTGTGCATAGGGCACACAGAGAGCTGGGCCAGAAAGGGGACAAGGTCTGGGGTTCAACTGGTATGGCTCACCTTGTTTTGGACAGGCCACAGTGCTCTCTGAGAAGCCCCATGGTGCCTGCCATGCTCACTTTCCTTTTTCTCAGGGATTTCTTATGCATGGCTTGTCATGCTGTCTGTCCCATGACTTGACTTTCCTGGTTGAAGCTAGCTGGACAAGGAGCCAGTGCTTGATCAAAGACAGCCTACTATAGGCAGGTAGTGGCCCTGAGGATGACGTGCCTGTTGCAATATATGCCCAACGGAGCTGCATCATATGGGATCATGACCGCCGGCCCCGGCTTTAAATGGCAGACACATAAAGAGCATTAACAAACAGTAGGGTGGTCTGAAGCAAAAGACACAGGAAGAAGGCAGGAAGCAGAAGCCATGAGATCCTAGAAACTATGAAAGGTAGTTTGTAACAACAGCAGGAACCATGCTGTCGTCGTGGAATGGGAAGTCCAAGCTGGTAGACAGAGAGGCGGTTATAGAAGGGCTGAGTATTGAACTTGAGAGGCTATCAGAGCTGCTGTCGGGTTTCCAGAACTACTGTCAGATGGAAGGCGCTTCCGTCCAGGGTTGGCTCTAACAATGACCCATGTTCGCTTCTCTGTGAGGTGGTTTCATGTCTTCCCTTACAGGGAAGGGTAGGTTACCACGCATCCTCCTACTGCATCCACGTGAGCTTCAGTAACCCTTCCTGGTTTCATTCTCACAACTGAGAATAACTTGAAACCCAGCCTGCTTATCCCATTGGTGCCCAAAAATACTTAGTACCTGATTATTCTGTCAGCGTGATGGGAAATGGCTTCAAACCGACCATTTGTCCCCATAGAAGAAATGCCAGGCATCAAAGGACATCTCCATACCTGGAAGTGGCTTCATGATTTCCCTCAGTTGTGGTCATCAACATACGGTGTGAAAACACTTCAAAAACTGCAATGTATTTAGAAATGGTAATTAAATTACTTTGTGGTAAATGTGCCCTAATTTTAAACACATGTATATTATGTAATTATGGGCTTAACTTTCAATTAACACTATCAACCCCTCTTATAAGCCAAAATTAAATACGCGGGTGTTGGTCATCTCATTTCCCTTAAAGGGAATGAATGTGGATGCTGAAATGAGTATAGATGATAGGTTGTCCTGTTCCACACATTTCACAAATTCCAGTTTTTCAATGGAGACATAATTTCAGGTCTATTACATTCTTGACATTTTCTGTGTTTCAGAATCTCTGTGGAACTTAAAAATATATGTATATGTATATGTATATATATTTATATAGTTGCTTAAACCTTATTCTGGGAGATTCTGATTAACGAGGCATTCAACTAACGGAAGGGGACCGTAGGATGTGGAGGAAAGATACGCTTATTTTTTGCCTCGATTCAGGGTCAGTTGACTGAACTCACACAGCTTGTTTCCTCGGACACCAGCAGGATCTGTGGGTGGGAGATGCCACCCCTTTGGTTTTCCTCAATGATCTTTCTCTGTTTGCAGTGGTTACTCAGAAAAACTCTTCTGGAGGGTGGTGTGGAGGTGGGGGGAGGTGCGGATCTCTTCCCACTTCTCCCCTCACAACCATTCAGGCTTGACAAACAACAAAGATCGGGTTTTTAAAGGAACAAGTTGTAACCTGTATCTGTAATTACATCTTAAATTTCAGCGTACTGGAGACCGCTGCCCAAGACATGAAACTGTGCCTTCAAGAATATGTAAGGACAAATGTCTCGTACGTGTGCCACTGTGATGAACTATATGCAAACAGGTGACTCTAACTCTTCCTTCATAAAGACTTGGCTTTAAACTTGCATGCATATATTGGTAAGTCCTGGTAGCACTTTTTTTTCCTCCCGTGAAGAAATAATACAGAACTATTAGCTTCATAGATAATACTATTTTCAAGACTCATAAAAACTCCATTGACTCTTAATAGTCACTCCCAGGAGATCACAAAGGAGCATTTTCCTTTTGAGACAGACACCGATGCTCAGCATGGCTAACTGTGCTAGAGGGAGAACTCAGTGAGGGTTATTAGCAACTTCACTTATTTCAGGGGTGTAAGAAGCAAGAGCACTTTAGACAGTGGTCAGTGGGCCTCTTGTGTTTTTGCAAGGGAAAGACAGAGGAACACAGAAAAACCAAGAACTCTTGAACCAGATCCACCCTCCTTCAAAATCAGGTCCTACCATTTATCAGCAGTCTGATCCTAGGAGAGTCAATTAACATATCTGTAGGTAGCAAAGAGGGATGTTTACAGATCCTGGAGAAAGACTGCCTGGATCTGAACCCTGGCTCTCTTGCTTCCCACCTAGGAGTATTTAGGCAAGTTTCTTAACCTCTCTGCATTTCATTTGCTTCATCTATAAAATGGGAACGCTAATAGTGAAGACTTAACCTACTCAAAGAGAGGTCTGGCTTTTGCTCTCAGCTATTAGGAGCTGCTCCCTACACCCTTGGAATAACCTGCCAGACAGGAGTGTCTCTGCCCAGGAGCTTTGGCCACCAAACAGTCTAACAATGTGATTTTATGATGGGGGTTTCGGGCCACGTGGTAGCAGTTCTGCCTCCACAAAGACCCGGAGACTACAGGTTAGCCATGTGATGGCACATAGCAGTGAGTGAGTGAGCCCCAGTGCAAACTCTGGACACCAGAGGCTCACGTGAACGTCCCTGGTTGATGAGATTCCACGCATGGGTGTCATACAGCCTCACAGAGAGGAATTGGTGCCATCCGTAGGTCCATGGGGGGAGGACAATTGGAAACTCCATTATTTGGATCTGTCTGGACTCTGCTCTATATGCCTATTCCTTTGGCTTACTTTAATCTCTATTCTTGTAAAAAACCACAATCATCAATATGACAACATTCAGTGAGTTTTGTGAGCCCTTTTAGCAGATTTTTGAACCTGAGGATGGTTTTGGGACCCTGTAAACTTGCAAATGATATCAAAAGAGAGGATGGTCTTGTATGAACACTGTTGCCTCTAGTTTTGTGGTTTATTAATTCTCATAGTGGCTGAAGCTTCTGCATTTCCTCCTGGACTTGTTGGAAGGATTACAAATTCTGATATGTAAAACACATAGAACAGTGCATGGTATATAAGGTGCTCAGTAAATGTTGGCTATTGCTTTATGAACGTCACACACAGACATCAACAAATCATTTTTTTAAATAAACATGTACTAAGTGCCAGTTTGTGTGGCACTCAAGTGGATCATCTGAATTCCCAATGAACTCTAAGAGTAAATGAAAAGAAACTTAGAGAGGTTCAGTAACTAACCTGTTAGTCAGTTTGTAAGCAGAAGCTAGGACTTAAACCGTGTTCTTTGTGACTTGAACACAGACTCCTATTTCTGAAAGCTTATGCTTCTAGCTGTTAGGCTAGACTGCTCCATAAAATACCTCTGCTGAAGTTGTTTATCGACTACACAGCTATAAGGATTACAGATGATGTTTGCAAGCACCCATGCAAGTGATCAATAAATGGGAGCAACGGTTACCTCCCAGTGTTCTTCCTTGCAGGATAGAGTCATCCAAACAATTCTATAGGAAAAATATGGATGAAGAGCCCCATTTCAAAAACTCCTTCACTGGCTGGTAGCAAAGAAGAGCACCCTCATCTCAAACTTGTTTATTCTTTTTTAAAGCAATTATCATTCTGTAGGATTGTAGCTTTGGGAGGGGCAATATTTATTCTTGATTGGGTTTTCTACTGACATATGAAATGAATAAGCATTTTAGTTTCTGAATTAGAGTGTATCAAATTCCATTATAGTATCAATAAAATGAAAGAAGCAGTAAATTTAGGGCAGAGCCCTCAGGGGGAAAAAATCAAATCACCATGAAACTCTACACACTTAAAATCTTCTGTAGAAGCTGTGTTCATTTTTTTTTTTACTACTTTTGTATAAATAGATGCCATTTCAGTACACTTTGCTGCTGCATATATCAAAATGCTGTCTAGAAAAAGAATTGACAATAATTCCTGCAATTTCTCTCATTTGGTGGATCAGACTAATTACACGCCCACTACTTCACCTCTCCCCGGCAACTAGCGCCTCTTCCCTTTCTTCTTCCTGGTCTTATTCATTTTAACCTCCTTCCCTTTTCTTCAGTGTCTCACAAATTTGACTTCATTCTTCATGCTTTCCGGTACATTTTGTACTTATGAACATGTGCTATTAATAGCAATGTTTCAAATTGGGATAATTCCTCAAATTGCATGCTGCCTGGTTGCCATGGGACCCAGTCTGTTATTAGGTTCCCTTGGTTCATCTTTGGGGTGCCAACTCACCTTGAAAAGTATTACAGGACTCTCATAAACCTGGGTAACCCTTCTATGACTTAACTGGCATGGGATAGGAAAGCGCTGAAACACTTAATTGTCCCCAAATTCTCACTATAGATAATTATTCAATCTTCTGTTTTATTCTGTTTGTATAGGTATTTGGCTTTTCTTCCTTCCTTCCTTCCTTCCTTCCTTCCTTCCTTCCTTCCTTCCTTCCTTCCTTCCTTCCTTCCTTCCTTCCTCCCTCCCTCCCTCCCTCCCTTCCTTCCTTCCTTCCTTTTGGGTTATCTATTAAAAAAATAAATCCATATCCTGGATAATGGCAATACTTACCACTAAAATAGGTTTAGTAATACTTTTCCATCTACATCGAATGGTTATTGTGGACACCAAATGATATAATGTAGGTGAGAGAAAGTGATTTGCCAACTATCCTATACAAATGTAAGAGATTATTATAATATTAACTTGGGGAATGAGGACTGGCTAATGTTCAATGTTTTGAAGAATAAATCCAGAAGCTTTGTTTATTACCTGGGCTTTGAGAGGTGCTACCCCCCAACTAAAAGCAATAATGGTCACTGATCCTTAATGATGCTAATTTAATGATAACAATGTTACCAACTGTTTCTTCTTCTTTTTTTAAATTTAAATTCAACTAGCCAACACATACATCATTAGTTTCAGGTGTAATGTTCAATGATTCATCAGGTGCATGTAACACCCAGTGCTCATCACATCATATGCCCTCCTTAATGTTCATCACCCAGTTACCCCATCCTCGCGCCCACCTCCCCTCCAGCAACCCTCAGTTTGTTTCCCAGAGTCGAGAGTCTCTCATTGTGTTTTTCCCTCTGATTTCTTCCCATTCAGTTTTCCCTCCCTTCCCCTATGATCCTCTGCGCTATTTCTTATATTCCACATGTGAGTGAAACCACATAATTCTCTTTCTCTGATTGACTTATTTCACTTCGCATAACACCCTCCAGCAGTTGCATCCATGTCAATGTAAATAGTTGAGTAATATTCCATTGCATATCTGTTTCTTCTTTCAAAGTTGACCTATTAGATTAATGGCTAAGCATGTTTCCTTTGTTGAGTATTTATTTAAATATAATGACTTCTCAGAGTTGGAACCTAAGTTCAGGGACTCTGGATTGCCAGGAAAAGGCTATAGTGGTATATATAAGCTATGAGCTTGTGAACCCAAACTGAATTTATACGTTTTTCAAAAAAAGAAGTAACCTGATTATGTAACAGATCATAAAAGCCCCTGAATACATGTTCAGATGCCAGGACTCTTCCAAACTCCCCACCTTTTCCCAGCTTGTACGGGAATTTTCACAATTAAATCAGTTGTCCATCTGGTCCCTTTAAGCCCACAGTGTTTTGTGTGTGGCACTTCAGGTTAAACTGTTGAGGGGGAAAGCCTTCTTTTTCCTGAATCTTCTGCTCCAAGTACATTGTGAGTTCTTAGCAGTGACATCATGAGAGTATATACCTATGTGAAGCATTTACCACGTGTTCAGAGGCTACGCAGTGTATGGGGGACTCATGGGGTCATTGTAATGATTCCCTCAAGGAATCCACATACCTCAGACTGGGAGTTTTTTTGCCAAAAAAATCCTTAAGCTCTTA